TTAGAATAATTATCAACCACAATTTTATTGTTTTGCTTACTTTGAATTTGAATAAAAACTAATACACTTGATTGAAATTTATTCCTTGATGGACGATAACTCTTAACTCTTCACGTATTAGTTGTCAACGATCCTGTACACTTGCGGGTTTTACACGAACAAATTTTTGGCGCCATTGTCGGGGAGTAATTTAATTAATTTGAGTTTATTGGTTATTTTTAGATTTGAAGTTTTTACTTGTTTTAGGCTATTTATTGAACAAACTAAGTTTCTTGTTTACTCTTTTCAAGAAAGCATAGTTTATCCAAGATTCTAACGAGATTGAGTTTCTTCCGATAGACTCCAAAATCGAAAGAACCTTTAGACAACGAAGAAGAGCACAGAGGGAAGCAAGGGAAATGGCAGAAAATCAAAATCTGAACTAGGTTCAGAATCCATTACACCTTCCTCAGCCAGTTCAGCCAAACTCACCAAGGGTAGTAGCAAATGATGTGAAGCTCTAGTGAGGGATCAAGTAAATTCCATTCATTCTCCTGTACAACTACCTATCATATATCCACCATTTGGACAAGCTAACTTCCACATTAGACCTGACGTTATCAACTTATTTCAGTATCATCATGACATCAGGTTCTCTAGAAAATCAAGTGAGAATCCTCATGAACATATTCAAGCCTTCTTGATGATGTACGATATGATTACCCACGAAGGCATGTCCGCTGCGCGTTTCAACTATGCTTATTCCCTCACAGCTTAAAAGATAGTCCACGAGATTGGCTAAACTCACTAATCCCTAGGAGCATTGTTTCATGGAATGATATGGTGTAGAAATTCGCTTTGAAATTCTTCCCACCTTCTCGAGTCCATCAAATCAAAAATGAAATCCGTACTTTCAAGCAAAGAGACCTCGAGAGTTATCCAGAAGCTTAGGAAAGATTCAAAGATTACTTCAGAAAGTGCCCAATCTGAACATTCCTAAAGACTCCAAAATCTTCATATTCTATTCAGGCTTGAAACCTGAATTTCGTAACATCGCCGATGCTTCAGCATGTGGATCAATACTGGTATTTCCATTGGACAATGCCTAGGACCTATTCGAGAGAATTGTAGAGAATCAATCTATGTGGCCAATAGATAGGGAATTGTCGAGGAAAACAGTAGGAGTACACGATGTTAACATAGCCACATCATTAGCGGCTCAAATGGAAGTTTTGACAAGGAGGTTAGACAGCTTTTCTCAGAATGTGAACATAGTACACCAATCGAAACCGGTTTACGAAAGTTGCGGAGCTTATCAAACTACAAAAAGATGTCTTTTGGCCTCCATACATGTAATCCAGCCTGAGGAGGTTAGTTATACGCAAAATTTTCAGAGACAACAGAACAACCCCTATTCCAACGCATATAATCCGGGATGGAGGAATCATCCAAATTTCTCGTGGGCTAGCAATCAAAGTCAAGGATAAGAAGAAAATCTTGTACTTAGTTGGGAAAAATGTCACTTCATTGTTAAAGACGGAATTGTTTTGAGGCATTTAATTTCGGCTCAGAGTATTGAAGTCGACAAGGCTAAGATACAAGTGATTGAGCAGCTACTTCCACCTACTTTTGTAAAAGGGATACGAAGTTTTTGGGATATGCTGGTTTCTATAGGCGCTTCATCAATGATTTTTCAAAAATAACC